TGTGATTGGTTAGGATTGAACCCATAAACCTCTAGCATAGGTTAGGATTGAACCAGTAAACCTCAGTTACCATTAGTGGTTGGTTAGATTCGAACCCGTGAACCTCCAACCAATATTTACACACCCTGTATATATAAGTTACAGAGATACACATATATAATATCAACATAACATGCTCAACGGTAAAGTTCCGCTTAAGCATTATACACTATATAAAATGGTTTTTTACAAATCCTACTAGGATAGGATTGAACCCGTGAACCTCTAAACTAGATGATCAGCTGAAATAAACAGTTGTGGTTGGTTAGAATTGAACCCATGAACCTCTAACATATTTAGCATATGTTAGAATTAAACCCGTGAACCTCAGTTACCATTAGTGGTTGGTTAGATTCAAACCCGTGAACTTCTAACATAGGTTAGATTCGAACCCGTGAACCATATTAAAATCAAATCTCCAATACACCCTGTATATATAAGATACAAGGTAAGATGTCATTTACCAATATAAAACTCCATACCCATAATTACTGTTGTGGCTCATATGGTAACGACTCCAACTACCAGCAAAAAGACCGGGGTTCGAAACCCGGTCAGGCCAACACTTTTTATCCACAAAACACCTACTGCACGTGGTCAGCTGTGGTCAACTAATCAGCTGAGATCATCTCAAGGTCAAATTCCTGCTAGATCGCTGCCATGACTACTGTAGTGTTCACGGCACGAGTCGTGTGGTCCACGGCGCGGTTCAGGAATGCACGGCGCACGGCGAAAAGTCGATACGTGTGAACGAGGCCTAAGTGCAATTCAATACGGCCAATTATGCCGTTTCTCAATCCTGTATTAACAGCATTGCCATCACATCCAATTACGAAATATTTTTGCTGGTCAAATATGATAGAATTGAAATGTCCTCTGAACTTCCTGAATCAGGGGTCACATGTTCAAGAAACACACTATCTGGTTCTTGAAAAAGACAGTAATGTTCCTCCTTTATAACCTTCGAAATCGTTTTGAATGTACAATTTCAACCACGATCGTATCATCTTTGTGGCCATCAAAATATAATCCATGTATTTGGTGTTTTAAAACTAGACAGTTAGCCCCTTATATTACGTGTTTCCCGCTTTACTTTACACTTATCTATTACTTGCGAATTGTCACAACTAGTTACTAAGCCGATGTCATGCAAAACACTGGAGGCTATGGCAGCTGTGACACGATCCGAAACACCATAGCGATCGCTAACCAATGCAGTAGATTTAAGGTAAATCCTCATTTGCCAACCAGGGGATTTATTTTTTGGGAGTTCAGATAAAAATGATTCTGGGTCGCTGTCACTGTAATTGTCAGTTTTGGCTGGTGAGCACAGTAATACACTATCACAACTAGCCTGTGCTTCAGTTTATAATACTTTAATCTCGGAGTTTTGGTTTGAAGTGCTGACACGAGACTTTCTTTCTAGTAATTTCATGCGTTTCTTTGTTTCGCATAAGTCTACACCTCCAATTTTTCTGATTCCGTGAACTCGAAGCGAGAAATAAACTTTAGCTCAATATATGGTATCCTATTTGATTTCTCACAAATACAAGTGATAGCGCAGTTGCACTGACATAGGTCGGGAGTCTTCTCGAACTTACAGTTAAGAAGAATTGGACATTTGCAAGCGGCAACATCAAATAGTAAAGAGCATTTGTGCTTGAACTCGTCAAGTTTTCTTATGAAAGATTCTTTATTTTTGTCATGTGTAAGTGATTTTCGTAAGCCATAGTATTTACCATGCAGTGCATTCAGAAGTTGCACTATTCTTGTATCACTAAATGTTGGAGTAGATGCCTTCTTATACAAACAAATTACTTTATTAGATACTGTGTTAGCTACTCGTGAAAAACTCACACTCTTATTATTAATTTTAAGTGATAGCTTGTATCTCTCGTGTGAAAAAACATCTAAGTACGTCTTCTCCAGTAGGTAGTTTGTTTAAAGGTAAATCCTTTGGTGTACCAAAGATTTGACAGTCAAATACCTGTCTAATGATGATTTTCTTAGATGCTGCCATTGTTCATTACACACACAGTACGATCCACAAAGTTACTAAAAAATGTGACACATTACAAAACACATTGCAAATGCAAAGAAAACTTCCAAAAAATATGTATTTTTTTCTTCAAACTTTATGGCACATGCGCGACCGGAAGATGACAACCAATATTTTTTTATATTTATATCCTGTTTTAATCTAACAATTTAGCATCTTTTCCGAGGTATTGCGATTCGAAAAAGTTTTGATTATTTTCGACCCACCCTAATAGGCTTGATTAAAAACATTAGGCCCTCATTTACATAAATTAAAAAGAGTAGGGGCCCTTGAGGAAAACCCTCTGTGATGAATCCATAATCAGACCTAAACCCCAGTGACTGCAGCCTTATACACTGTTTTCTACTAGATATAAATGAAAACAACAATGTAATAGTCCTGCCCGATATACCATAAAACTGCAACTTCCGGATCAGGATTTAATGGTGTACACAGTCAAACGGTATTGAGCGGTCACAGAAGAGACCAGCTACATTCTGCGAACTGTCAAGAGCATCCATTACCTCGGTTAGCAAGCTAAATATGGCATCTACAGCGCTTTTACCTTTTATGAATCCATACTGATTTATGTTAAAAATTTTTACAACTAGTAAATCATACATGTATTAAAAACTATCTTTTCAAAACTTATGTAGAATGCAGGCAGTAATGGAATGGGTCTATAATTAGCTAAATCTGTTGGATCTCCTTGTGTATAACTGATAATACGTTTGACAACTTTAATAAATCAGGGAACACGCCTGTATTAAGAGAAGTGTTAATTAAATGAGCAAACTGTGTTGAGATGAAGGATAAGCATTTTTATAAAGGTGATCATTTGATGATTTAGAAGGTTTTAAATCATTAATTATTGCTGAACTTCTTGAGGATATGTCATTTTTAACGATATTAATATCGATTCAGAATGGATTCCTTGTTCTAAAAATTTGATTGACTTTTCAGCATGATAACTAACATTTAAAATATTGCAAGTATCTATAAAGAATTTGTTGACACAATTTAACTGATCATTAGTATTGATAGATTGATACAAAAAAAGAAATCTGTCTTTGTTACTAGGAGAAGTTTTTTTTTTTCATTTCTTTTTTTACAATCTGCCAGGTAGTTTTATTCTTATTTCTTATTTGAACATGTTTTAATTTTATTTCTGTTGAATGACATTTTAACCAATTGCATAAATTTCATTAGAACTTTGCTATATTTGTTTACATATCGTTTATTTTTTTGCAGATAGAACCCTAGTAAAAGAGTACCGCAAGGAGTATGTTTGATCTATGATAGAACTTTGTCACATTGCTAACTCTGTTATTGTTATACATGGAGTAATAAAATCAGAAAAATACATGAATTAATAAAAACTGAGTTTTACTATATAAAAACACCGATTTTAGCAAAAAATTCAGTTAGAACCTTGTCAAACCAAGGCAGCAAGATCGCCAGATATTAAAATCCAGTAAGTCTCTATTTCTTCTACTTGGTGGCGTTCAATGACTTTGCTATGTTTCCATGGTTAACAAATTGGTTTTATCAATGATTTCTCAAGAAATACAGTACTATGTCAATTCATTTTTCTTATTTGGCAAAACATATCAAATTGTCCAGGCTCTCTCGATTATTTACATTGTAATATGTACGAATGTAAATTAACATAGTAACTATTTAATTTCCACAACATCAGTAAATGTACCCAATGCGTTTCATTGAATTGAAAAATAAATAACAGCAATTAAATTATGCAGCTGATCAAAATGTAAACAATTATGTTCTTTATAAGGATAACATGGGAACTTTAACAGCCACTGGGGCAGAGCCCAAGGGACTTTTTCAAAAATGTAAGGTCAGTTTGCAAATCTACGCGTCACGCTCTTTCCAATGATACGTCAATGGGTAAAATCGGTTAAGAAATGGCGGAGGAGTTTAACTCTAACTAATTTAGCATTGTTTAAAGAGTAATAAGTTAGTGTAAAAACAATAATGATATTAATTCCGTTAATCCGCGTTTACACTATGTAACAAAACACTGTTTTATAACATTGTTATAAAACTTTTCACACAGGAATGCAGTTTGTCTAAAACAAAAGTTATATAACATTGTTTGAATAACAATGTTTTAAAACACTTTTTAAGGAATGCAGTATCATGACTTTAAAAGTTATATAACCTTGTTTTAAAACAGTGAAAGTTTGTTTTAAAACCATGTTACATCTTTCCCGTCCATAGTCGGTAGAGATCAAAGGGTATTATAAAACAATGTTTTAAAACATTGTTACAGGCGTTTGGGCGTGCCGAATTTGTTTTATAACTTTATATTGCCGGTATCTTTTAATAATATAAAGCTAGACGGCCGTACTCACTCACTCACTCACTGATATAAATAACTACCTGATGTACCCGTGCTTCGCAGCTATAAGCCTAGTTACACTATAAAAGTTATTTTACAAAAATATTGTATGAAATAATAATTTATAAAATATACTTTGTATAATTTGTTTGATATGTACCAGATAAATGGGTATGTTTACACTATTTCGAAAGTTTAAGGTAATAGTCCAGTACACAAAATATATGAACCATGCACGAAGTCCGGTAGTTATACACATCAATAAATGTAATAAAGGAGAAGTTATAAAAGAAGTCTTTTCTAAAAGATTACCATTGTTTTGCCAAAAGAATTGTGTACAATATCTTCTATAAAATAATTTCCAATGTATGTCCAGTAAGAGCAAATATGAGTCAGTTGTTTAGATGAGCCGTTCTGTATGATCTTGCGAACAGCACGTTTCAACAGCTGATTAATTGTTGCTGTCATTAGAGAATGTTCGTGAAGACTAATTAGTGTGTTTATTGTTCGTGTTTACAAGTGCACCGTTGTTAATTTTTCCGTGACTTGCCTGGTCTACTCATGGAGTGGGACAAAGAAAACGTTTGTTTACTAATCGATTTATATCGAGAGAAACCTGTGTTGTGGGATCCCACCAATCCCGACTATAAAAATAGGAACAGAAAACATGACGCTTGGGGTGCAATAGCGGCGACAATGGATATGTCTCGGGATGAGGTTGAAGGGAAAATGAGAAAACTCATCGGACAGTTCAACAGAGAAAGTAAGAAAGGAAAATCGGGTTCGGGGGCTGATGAAGTAAATCGGAAATGGTTTGCGTACAAACTACTTTTATTCTTAAAGGATAAAAACTTACCCAATCACTCCCGAGAAGCTGGTTTTGCCGATTCGCAAAAAGAAACTGATGAGGTAAGTGGATTAAATTATAGCCTACATTATGTTTATTTTAAAACTCAACCCACGATAAAAAAAAACACAAGCATAACATTTGCCTATAATATATTTCATTGGTTACCTATATTTTACTACTTTTCATAATAAACTTTCCATTTATTATAAACATTATAGAGTAAAGGGCCTGTTTCTTAAATATACGTCTGTCTGTCTCATGCGTACAGAACAACTAATTAAAAACCTATGTATGTCCTATACCTAAAAAGGTAAGAATGATTTAGGCTAACGTAAATCCATGGTGCCATACCATTGAGTACTGCATGTATGTTCATTGCATTGAGTATGAAAATTTACCACTATAGATAATTTATGTACAACCAGGAAGCAACCGTACCCTTTGTTACTGGGTATGAACTTTTGGATGGGTTACAGTTACTGTATTAATAGTTGTCTTGCCACTGAACTTTGCCTTGGTCCGTTAAAAAGAAATAACTCAGTTCATCCCGGACCAATCGTGCAACTTCGCAGGGTTTCCTAGGAATTTTCTTCAGCTTCAGGAGGGTCCCACTAGGCAAACCTATAATCCTCCATTGTCCGGGAATAACATCGCCAGTTATTTGGTCCTCAGAGTCAAAAGTTCCTACCGGAGAATACTTTGACGCAGTACTTGGATTTCTCCTTAGAAAGTTGTGTAAGTGAGCACAAGCCAGTACAACTTTCTCCGCCTTATTGGATTCTAACAGTAAAGGCATTCGTATCACTCTGAAAACCACAGACAATATGCCAAAGGCATTTTCAACTACTCTTCTTCCTCTTGAATGACGGCCGTTGTATATTCTTTCTCTTGATCCTTTGTCAAAGTTACCAGGAAAACGCTTCATAATATTCGGTTTTAGTGGGAAAGCATCGTCCGCTATAAACATGAAAGGAACTGGTATGTTTGCAGGTTGTCTTCCTGGAAGAAGTTTGCTTTCCGGCACATCCAGTAACTTCTGTTCTATCCTGTTGGCCAGTTCTGTCTTTGCAAACACGCCACCGTCAGACAGCCGACCTTGATATCCCACATTAACATAAGTGAAGTTGTAATTTGCGTTTACAACTGCAAAAAACACAATACTAAAAGTTCCATTATATAGTTATAATAATCACTTCCACTTCCAATGGGTGCCTGTAGAGTGACGTGTTTCCCATCCATACTGCCATTTGTCGTTCCACTCCTTCGCCTCTGCTAACCATTCTGCTTTACAAGTGGCCATCTGGAAGAAACAAAATAACAGTCTCAGTTTGTAATACAACTGCTTAACAAGTGGTATACAATTCCATAAAAAAGAGATTGATTTAAGCTAACAAATTATTTAAGGTCTATTTTTTGTATATTTAGGGCCTCTAATTGTTTGGGAAATCTTCTGTTACAGACTGACAGAACAATTGACATTGAAGACGAGGAAGATGGATCTGTTAACCCGGATGATAATACCCTTACAGACAGTGCAACTACTATTGTCAGCGGGACAACAAAAGAAACTTTAAAGAAAGTACCGTTTAGTTATGGCACACAAACTACCGGTACCAAAAAAAGGAAAACTATGTATGAAATGGCTAATGAGGCGTATATTACAATGAAATCAATGGAAGGAAGAGCAAATATGTCAGTGCAAAGAGATGAATATGATGCATTTGGAGAGTATGTTGCACATTCTTTGCGGAATCTGAAAACTAAACATGCCAAAGTTATGGTGAAGCATGAAATTAATGCATTACTTTTCTAAGGGGAAATGGGGCATTATGACGAACCGGATCAAACAAATCATATAACTATTTTGTCCTCCTCATCAGCTACCACAACAACCTCCCCACTACCATCATCCAATCTTCTACCGACCACTTATATTCAACAACCTGAGGACAAAGGAAATTCTCCAACAAAAGATCAAGTTTGTGAATTGATCGCCTTCATGCCTTTTAAACAATAATCCTATGAAGAATTTGCCATATAAACTGCTTATTACTTGTACCTTCCAATGCATTATGTAATGTGTAATGTTCTGTGTTCTGTGTAATTATTGTTCTGTGTTAATGTTGAATTATGGTATGTATACTGCAATAACATGATATGAAACAAAGAGAAATGTTAAAAGAATAATTCTTTTGATTTTTACCTAATATTTTTCCATTTATGTTATATCTAAATAATTTCTATAATGCCAGCCGTATTTTCAAACTCACCTTAATATTGTTCTGCAAACATGTTATTATTGCTTCACACACTTCTACTACTATGTGAGAGATACTTGCGGGCGAGAAATCTTAGTGTTACTGCCAGTCTCTCCTGCACAGGTATCGCGTCTCTAAATGAAGTATCTTTCTTGGCAATATTGTGGCCAATCATTGTTAATAAAAATTCAAAATCTTCACTACGCATTCGGCAAAAGTTTTTAAAACTTCCGTCTGAACGAAGTTCATGTCCAATATGTATATTTGCATCGTATTGTCTTAGATCTTCCAGTAAATCACTACCACTGTACCGATCTCTTGCACGTAATGAAGGTCTTACCCAAAATCTTCGTTTACGTCTCATTGCACACAGTAATACACACGCGGCGGCAGAAAGTGCAGCGTCATCTGGAGAAGCCATCTTGGGAAGAGAGACGTGTTTTATAACTTTGTTTAATACTTAAAAAGATAGTAAACATTTGTTATCAAACTTTATTTTATAAGACTGTTTTACAACAATGTTGTAAAACGATGTTATAGGTTTTTTTCATTTTCTTAAAACATTGTTACATAACAAAGTTACAAAACAATGTTAGGTAACTTTGTTTTAAAACTTTGTTACATAGTGTAAACGCACCTTTAGTTATCAAATATGGTTGATCATTCAATGAATAAAATATGTCCCATACCCTACGTCATCGGAGTTATTATTATTATGTTATCTGGTATCTCTTCCTTTGGAAGAACCTTTAAATAGTTTTAAAATCATATTGGTGGATCTTTTGAAGTTTAACATTTCCGTGATTTCATCAGTATAATGAAGATTAATCTATGATTTATTTGAGAAAAAAAAATATCTGTTTGTTGCCCGGGAAGACACATTCTAACTTCAATGGTAGGTATATCCATTACAGTGTAAGTTTTATTTTTCCTTCGTCACGTCGTGTCAGTTCATATCGTACTTCTGTGCCAATGAATAACCCTTTAGCACAGTTTTGGGAAATTGATTGTGGGGTTTTAACATGTTAAATTTTTACTTGTTACTTTTTAACATGTTACATTTTAACATGTTACTTTTTAACATGTTAATGTTAAAGCTGGAATTCCTTGACATGGGGATGTCAGTTAGTTGTCTCAGCCTTATCAATTACATAAAGTTGTAAATATAGTTTCGAACCATCAAAAAGCTTCTGACTTTTCTCAGGATCGAATCAGCGACCTTTTGATTACTAGGCGAACACTATAACCATTCACCTACCCAGCCAGTTATATTAATGCAATAAAATTATGTACAGTCGAGTTATTCGAGAAGAGATTATGTATTCTTCAGTCGTGCACCGCGAAACTGCGAACATAAGAATATGAAATAGTTGTTTGGATATTTTCATTTCCTAGTATTGTTAGGCGGGATAAAATTTAAAAAGTCAAACGTTTTGACGTCATTTAATAAGTAACAACCTAATTCATAGTTTTTATTGAGTTTATCTAAACAATCATAACATTCCATATCTGATTAATCTAAAGGTGACACCCGTTTGTTAGAATTATCACCGCTCTCCCATTCGTTGTCGCCGAGTCACTTGGCGCCAAATGTATGATCAATTCCAGGACACTGCTGTCTTTGAGCCCTTCATTTATCAAGTCCGATTCGATGTGGTTTTTAACATGGTCGACAACCCTCCACCATATTGTCTTGGGAGAAAGAGTCAACTGCTTCCATGAATAAATCTTGGACACAAGAAATCTTAAAGGTGGAATTACTTGATGGTACATACTTTTTTTAATTCGCCCAGACCAGCTTAATCGGATTGTAGTTATAATAGTATGGCGGCAGTCTTATAATTTTGAATCCAAGTTGAATAGCTCTCTTGTTGATTTCATACACTGTCACCTGTGGCTTGTGTTTCTTAATAAGGCTGTATACTGTATAGCTCTTTTTTATCTGTGATCTTTGATCTGTGATCTTTGATCTGTGATCTATGATCTTTGATCCGTGATCTTTGATCTGTGATTTTTGATCATTGATCTGTGATCTTTGATACGTGATCTTTGATATGTGATCTTTGATCTGCGATCTGTGATCTTTGATCTGTGATCTGTGATCTTTGATCTTTGATCTGTGATCTTTAATTTTTGATCTGTGATCTGTAATCTATGATCTGTGACTTTTGATCTGTAATCTATGATCTTTGATCTGTGATCTGTGATCTTTAATCTTTGGTCTGTACCATGAAGACATGTTACCATGAAGAACTTCATGGTAACAAGCAGTATTTCATTGAAACATGTAGTACTTCATGGAAGCATGCAGTAATTCATGGTAATTTGCAGTACTTGATGGTAACATGCAGTACTTCATTGTAACATGCAGTACTTCATGATAAGATGCAGTACTTCATGGTTACATGCAGTTCTTCATGGTTACATGCAGTTCTTCATGGTAACATGTAGTACTTCATGGTTGTGATATATTTTAAAGTTATGCACTAGCAGAAAGTAGTGCTATTTAGTTTGTGTGTGTGGCTGCACTGTGTGTGCGTCACAGCTGATGTCTCTGAACCGGCCTCAGTTCTACGTTATCTACCAGGTTAGTCGCAGTCTTTTTCATTAGTGCGGTTCTTTTAACTTGTAGTCATAGAACATAATATTGGCGCAGTCGGTAGTCGGTGAAAATGTCGAGTGTGGGACGAATGGGAGAATTTAATCCCAGTGAAGAAGATATTTCGTCATATTTGTTGCGTTTGAAACATTATTTTATTGCGAATGATGTCAAGGCCACGAGCAAGGTTTCTGTTCTAATCACCGTGTTAGGTCCTAAAGTGCTCGCAGTGTTACGGGATGTAGTTTCCCCTGAAAAAGTGGACGAATTAGATTTTGATAAACTCGTTAAAGTACTGGAACAACATTTTTCACCCAAACGTTTAATAGTGGTAGAGCGTTATTTGTTCAATTCCCGCTCGCAGAGGTCGGGTGAAAGCATCTCAGATTTTGTGGTTGCGATAAAACATCTTTCGGCTTCTTGTCAATTTGGAACATTCCTAAAGGACGCTTTAAGAGATAGGCTAATCTCGGGAATTTCCAATGAACAAATTCGGCAAAAGTTATTGTCGGAGGAAAAAGATTTTGATAAAACTTTAGCGTTGGCGCTTACGTTTGAACAGGCAGACAAGCACACAAACATGTTTCTCAGCAAACAGGAAACTTTTCAGGATGTGAACAAGTTTCATGTTAGGAAAACCACGTGGCCTAGGGGTGGCAAAATGAAAGAAAGTGAAGGTGCTACGAAATTTTTTAAGTGTTACAGGTGCTTGAAGACCGACCATAAGGCTAACAATTGCCCATATGATAAATATAAATGTCATATATGTTCAAAAGTGGGTCACCTAGGGAGGCCAAGGATAGAGGTAGTAAAGCTACTGGAGGTAAATATAAAGTGCATCAGATGTCTGAAAGCCCTAGTGAGGAATGTGAAGAGCTAAATTTGTACAATATTGGGCTAGGCCTAACTGACCCTAACTCTTGTTACAAGGTAAGAGTAGCCATAGAAAATGTAGACTTAGACATGGAGATTGATACAGGATCTGCTATCACAGTATGTCCATTTGAAGTGTATGAAAAACATTTTTCTCAATTACAATTGACTCGTAGTAATGTAAAATTACGTGCCTATTCTGGTGATGAAGTTAAGGTAGTAGGCCAAGTAGATGTTAACGTGGTTTATGAACAGACAAGCTACATGTTGCCTATGACAGTAGTGGATGTAGATAAAGCCAATGCACCGTTGCTTTTAGGTAGAAATTGGTTGCAAAAAATAGTTTTGAACTGGAACTCTATTTTTTCAAGTAAGTCTAGTGCAGTCCAGACTCATAAGCTCTGTACACAGTCTAGGCCTAGTTCTCGAGGCCATGATGTTTTGGCAGAACCTAGCCTAACCAAGGTCCAAGTGCCTAAAGATGTTGATCTTTTGAAAAATAAATATTTGTCTGTATTTAAAGGTAAAATTGGTGAAATTAAAAATGTCACATAGCTACTATGCTCACATAGTATTGAGAGAGGGGTCAACTCCGAAATTTTTTAAATTTAGGCCAGTGCCTTTTTCGTTACGCCATAAGGTTGAAGAAGAGTTACAGAAGATGGTGGATGACGGTGTAGCCTATCCTGTGACTAGTTCGGAGTGGGGCACACCATTGGTAGTCATACCTAAACAACAGGGAGTTAGGTTATGTGGTGATTTCAAGGTTACCTTGAATCAGGTAATTCAAAATGAGCATTACCCTTTGCCTCAACCTGATGATATATTTGCGGCACTGTCGGGATGTCAGTTCTTTTCAGTGTTGGACTTGCAGTCTGCGTACCTACAGATGCCTGTTGCGGAATCGTCTCAAGAGTTATTGACGCTAACAACTCACAAAGGGTTGTTTCGACTCCGGCGTTTGCCATTTGGACTGTCTTCGGCCCCCGCTTTGTTTCAGGCTGCCATGGACAAGATTTTGTCAGGTTTAAGCGGTACGGTAGCATACCTGGATGATGTCATCGTAGGAGGTTCTTCACGCCA